CACGACTCGGATTTATTCTTTTTCATCATCAGCCTTATATGGAGAAGGTTAAAGCATTAATCACCTCGCTTGCTCAATGCGGGTTGGCGATTTCAAACTTTATAATTGGAAATAATAAGTCCAGGTTTCCTCACGATGTTTACGAACGAATGGAGTTTCTTGCTCGTTCTTCTCCATTCGAATCTACAATTTGGAATGAGCACGAACAGACTGACATACTACTTTTCTATTTTGACGTTTCAAAAGTACCTATTTATGGTTTAGTTGGAATAGATGATTTTAACTTTGACTTTGACTTTACCTTCGCCGTATGTCAGTGGTATCTAAATAATCATAGAAAGTACATATAACTTGGAAAAAGTCACTTTAGTACTTGCCAGGTTTCGAACCGAGAAGCGGGCTCCTTAAACTCCGGGCCACCATGACATTATTCATATTATTCTTTTTAACTTCCTATATTTCATTATCAATTTTGAAGTTAAGAAGCTTATAATGCCTATAATAATATTAGTCGCTTTGATTTTGACTTTTACTTACTTTTTGATGATATCTTTGAATATAACATATAGGACGGCAAACGAGCAGGCGTATCGCCTGATGGTAAGCAATCAGCACCGCCCATGTACACCCGCAACGGAGGAGTTACGAGTGCGTTGCCGGCCTTTTAAGGATAAGGGTTTGGGATATTAAAGGATTGGAAAGAGATGGGGGCAGGCGGAGACATTGGGCGGCCTCCGGTAACGTCACTCACACGGCGAAACACAATGGTGTGGTTGTTTAACGCCAGTTTTCTGTGAGGCCGTGGTTTCACTCCGGTCGAAGCTTAGCTCTCTCACATTTCCTCTCCCATCCATATCAGCGTCTCTTACTCTCTCTTATTTGTCACAAATAAATAAACACAAGATACATATGTTGTGACATTATCCACATCTAAAAATAACACTTGTTCTCATTAAATGGCTTACAAGAAATCGACAGTTCCTATTTTGTTTTATTGCTTATTTTTATTTATTTTATAAAGTCATATTGCATGCATTAAATGGCACAATAATTACTTTTTAATGGTCTACCTTAATCATACCAGCCCTTCACTTTATTATTTACCGCATGTAAGTTTCAAATGTAGGTAATGTTATTAAAGGGATATAAAACAATTTGGAAATAAAACTTTTTTAAATTTTACGCCAAGATCTTTTCAAATATAAAAACTCATAATACCTTCTTTGATCAAGTTATTTGGGAAACGAAACAAAATATTAATTTTTACTGATTCATATTAGACGTTAAAATTCGTGTAAAATTCAAGATTTTGTCTGCGGTCTTTCTCTTACTTTCCATCTTTACACATTTCGAATCACTCTCCCCACAAAACACGCAAAAGTTACTTCTAAGGCCACTTTAACCAACAGGTCAGTTTCTCTTAAGTGTGGGAGAGCCATATGAATGGGTCTGCTCGATCGGACCACGGCCTCCCAGAAAAACCGCGTGAAACAACCACAGCGTTATATTTAGTGTGAGTAAGATTAGCTAAAGCCCATTCCTTCTTCTCCCCAATCCCTCCCAATCTCAAAACCTCCAAATCCCTAATCCCCAAAAGGCAACGCACTTGTAACTCCTCGGTTGTTGCGAGTGTCCATGGGCGGCGCTGATTGCTTGCCATCAGGTAATCCGTCTGCTTATTTGCAGACTTATCACATAAAAAAATATAGTTTGGTAAACGAGTAGACGAATCACCAAATGTTAATAAATCGGCGCCATCTAGCTTTTTGAGGTAAGAATTTTAAAGATTAGGGAGTTTGGGGATTGGGGATGGAAGGTGGGGAAGTATTTATACATGTGTTATGTTACACAATAAAACAAAGTTATCAATGTTTTATTCACTGTACTTTTTCTAGATTTTAAGATCTTTTTTTATTTGTAATCTACCTTTTTACAACAAATAAACATTATTATTTTTTAACATTTTTGTTTATTTCCATTTACCTAATTACTCAAAAAAAAAAGAAATTCTGTATGCGTTAGTAAGGCGGTCTTACATGGTTCAACCACATATTTTTAAAAGGTTTTAAATCAAAATAATGCAATATTTTATTTACTTATCCTTAGGTTTATCACGGAAATTTTCATTATACCCACTTGGTCTTTGAGGATATGTCTTCTGATGAGCTACATGAAAGACAATTGCCTTCTTGTTAAGGGTTAAAAAGTTTCGGTTCTCAATTCCTCTTGCTTTTGGCAAATCTTGGCAGAAGGAAGGAACTGCCAAGGACAGCCAACCGACCAGTAACAAGATCAAAAAGTTTAGAGACATGATAATCTGAAAGCAAATTCAAAGAAAATATGTAATTAAGAAAAATCGATAGAATCGGCAGCGCAGTAAACATTGATTTTACTTTTTTATTATTGGGACAAGCTCGCCACAACCTCCTAAGACTAAATGCAATTCCTTTAAGCTAGGATCTACAGTAGATATAACCAGGAAAACACCGAATCACTGAAGTCCGGTGCATCTCAGGGGCATGAATACATATATGTATCGGATCCCGCAACGAAATAAATCGGAAGATATTATTTGAAGAGAAGAAAAAAAACAGTAGTTTCCACTTCCCTCGGTAAATTTAGCGCAGGAGACAGAATGATTTCAGTTCAAAAGCACAAAAGAGTCTGTACAACTGGGAGAAGCCCAGTCACCAAACACCACAGAAAAATTATTATTGTATAAGAATAATCATATATAATAATCGAATTTATGTACCACTTAGGGCTGATTTTGCAATGGTAAGATTTCTGAGATTATCTAAAGAAAAAATTGTTGCTGTCATTGTCTTATACAAACATTTAACGCGACAGCGCCATAATTATTCCGCAGATATCTTTGATCGGACCATTGAAAAATCAGCCCTTAGAATTTTAAATTATTTCAAAAACTATCATCTGTTATTATTGTTTGGGTAGGACCCACCAAATAATGGTATTATAATAAAAGTATTATAATACCGACATAATAATGGTATTATATGAAATGCCAAATGACACGATCCTGATACTTCTTCTTTAACATTTCACCAATCTCTTCATTCATACTCGCCGATTGAGAGTAGGTATATAGTTTTAATTTGAACCTTTTTCAAAACAGTCATAATTAAAATATATATTCTTACCTTTTTTATCGCTTCTTAGGTGATGCTAAGCTCCTCGTGAGAGCTATTATAAAAAATATGTATTAACAATTCTATTGTTCAGTTGAGCGCACATAACCAGGGCCGCATTTAACAATCAAACGGATAACAAAAAATGTTTTTGGTCCAAAAATTTCATAAAATGTATAGGATATGGCCGAACTGTTTATAGATTTTCCATGTCCCTTTGTATGGAGAATAGAAGCTACTAAGAGACAGGTCATTGAGACCTCAATTTATACCTTGGGCTCACTAGATCGTAGCATGCTAAGAAGAAAGAACAAACCAATTATGGTCTACAGAGGTGGCAATGGCTTTCAGAAATCTTCTACGTTACGATAGCCTTTAACAGTCTTCTATGAGACAAACGCACAAGCAACTCGGTTCAATCTTCTGACTAATGGTATCAATGTGCTGCGCCTTAGGCATTTGAAAAAAAACTTTTGGGGTTTTGGCTGGTTTTGGCAAAATAATTTAATATACAACAAACACGCAGAAGAACCGATTATGTTATAATAATATGTACATAGAAAACATCCACACATAGCAATGACATTGCCAAAGAGCTCCTGACTGCCTCAAAAATCCAACAGACCACCGCAAATGGAGCTGATGTCCAGCCGGGGTTCGTGTCAAGTGCATTTATGAACCTTGACCTCAAACTGGAGCAGTGAGAGTGGTTTTTAGTCAGTAAGAGTCTGATACTCCCTTAGTGAGGGAGAAGTCATTTGAGGATTTTCCGCTCACCAAAACGGGGCCCCTGACTGTGTAAATCTGGCCCTGCACGTGACAATTTATTTTTATCTTCACGCATAATTCATATTATTATAATTTATTGGATCGATTTTATTGGTCATTTTACATAACGCAATAACATTATTTACAAAACATATTGCATTTATGTGTAGGAGAGCCAAGCTTAGGCAGGAACGGGTCGGTTCAACGGAAGTGGTACCACGGCCTCACAAAAAAAACCGGCGTTAAACAACCACACCGTTGTGTTTCGCCGAGTGACCCCATCCCTTTCCAATCACCGCGACCTCGGCCCAGAGCAGGAGAAGGAACGGGGGTTTAGTTAGTAAGAGTCTGACACTCCCTCTCGCCCTATCCTAGGCGGGAGAAGTCATTTGATGATTTAACGAGGTAAAAAAAAATGTCGCAGAGGATACGCCTCTTTGACCCGAATGTCGCTATACAAGATTGATACCAACAACAGCTGAACAACTCAAATATACAGATAATCAGACAAATATTGATTGGCCAAATACTATATCGGAGAAAATTTAATTAAATTCTGTGCAGTAGTTTTTGCATGATGTGGAAGCTAACAAACAGGTAAACAAACAAAGTCTATAATAATTTTGTTCTGCTACTAAGTTGTGTATTTTTCAATATCTTTAATGCAACAAACATCGATTTGTTAATTGTGTTATTACCTAATATATTTTTTTTCATACTAAAAAATATGATTTTTTGTGTGTTGTGTGTTAATGGAAATAAAATATGTATGATCGATTACTTCTCTAGTGTCATTAGCTGTTTCAGGGGAATAATCAATAATGAAAGTATTTTCTTGCAAGATCCTTGTTGATCAGAATCAGACCCGAGCGTTCAGCGTATAGCGTTCATTTGATAATTTTCTTCCCTCAAAAAAAACCTCTATTATATAGACCTGATAACAGAACTGGTCATAGTAGTAAGTAAATAATAAAATAAAATATTTGAAATTTAGTTTCAATTTCTTTATTACATAAATAAAACCCTTAATTTAGTTAACCTAAGTAAAACATCAACAACATTTCTTAAACATCAAGTAATCATTCAAAGTCGATTCCTATTATTTTCATTAAAAATACTAGGTCTTTGCGGATAGGTTTGAGGGTTCTTTAAACTTTCAGCAACTTTGTCCTTATTTAAAAAGAAGAAAGGTTGATTATCCTGTGGCAACGCATTCAGTTGGTTGGCGTAATTCCTGTCACCGTTGAGTTGAGCTGGTATTGGTTCATCTGGAAATCTGTCGAATATTCCAGTGGCTACTGGGGTTTCTGGGAATCCGATTGGCCGAAGTCCAGCGTAGAATGGGCGTTGGCAGAAGCAGGGTACGATGGCTAAGATGAACGAGATGATGACGAGTGCTGTACGTGCCATGGTGATCTGGAAATTATAGAAAAATATGTTATTTTATGTCACCAGGTAGTGTTTGAAGACACGGGGAAAAAATACTTCGTCCGCGTCACCTGAATGTAGCGTAGCTTCTGTGTTATTCAAGACTATGATATATTTATGTGCCGGTTTTCATTAAAATCCGCTTAGTAGTTTAAAATCTCTTTTTATTATTTCTATTATATTTTGAAATATTAACAAACATTCATCCATCAACCTTCACTCACAAACTTTCGCGGTTGTAATATTATTATCATAAGTTCTTTTCTTATATAAGATTATCATTTCGGTTGACTCGGTGGCTGGGCAACTAGCTGCCGTGCAACGTGCCGCGGATCCGATTCCCGCACGGAACGACACTTTGTGTGATCCACAGATTGTTGTTCCGGGTCTGGGTGTGATGTATATTTGAAATTGTATGTTTGTAGACGCATCCACGACACAGAAAAAATATCCTAAAATGCGGCAAACTTTTCTTTTTTTTTTAAATAGATGTTTACTCTCTCAAACAATTTAACTCACTGTTCCTCTTACTCAAATAAATTATACTCTGTTGTAGTCGACAAGTATTTAAAAATGTTGTGTATTGCATTTTTGACACCAATTTCTCAACTGTTTGTTACTTAAACGAAAGTAAAACAGATGAAAGTGATTTCTTTACCAAGAAAGTATGACTGCGTGCAGATATCTGGGTATTTCCAGACTCTTAAATACCGCTTTTAATCCAGTATTCTTTATTATGGTCACAGAGAAATCAATAAGCCATTGCGAATTCTTTAAAGGTGAAAATTGTCCTCATTAAATTTATTGACAATGTTGAATTGTACACTTAAAATTGTAACAAGTAATATCACGCATTTTTATCACCAAGATGGTGGTCAGAAGTATATATGTTTAACGTTAGACTACAAGGTTGGCGCGGTGGCTGGGCAACTGGCTGCCGTGCGATGTGTCGCGGGTTCGATTCCCGCACGGAACAACACTTTACGTGATCCACAAATTGTTGTTTTGGGTCTGGGTGTCATGTGTGTGTGAATTTGTATTTTTGTAAACGCACCCACGACACAGGAGAAAATCCAAATGTGGGGCTTATTTAATAAAAAAAAACGTGGCTTCTGACCATTTGATCAACAAATGAGACCTAAGTTCCAGTTAACGTCATATTAAAAAACTTTAAAATAATAACAATGACCTAATGAGCTGTGTTCGATTTATGAAAAGAGCTCATTTTTACGTAATACGTTTACAAGAAAAATTGCATATGAAACACACTTTTACTTCTATTGAAAATGTTATCTCTCGAAAATAAAACTACATACATATATTTGAATTATTTAAAAAAAGTGAGGTTGAGTTATCTATGGAGTCGAAACTCCTAAAAAGAAGAATTACCAATTAATTGATTTCATTTAACAAAATCGTACTTAAGAATTCCAAGATACTACAGCCTACCTTTTAGTCAGAAAGAGCCTGCCACTCCTTCTCGCCTCTCAAGAGAACAACACATATAAATAAGCTGTCAAAACATCTCTGTTTAAATTCAAAATATTCTTCCCTTTCAAAAAAAAGTATTAATATTAAAATTCGAATTTAGAACTGTTATAAAATAAATTCAAGAGATTTATTATTATTACCTATACCAAATTAATTCATCAAATCCCAAGCGTATTCGCGCAAAAATTATTATTATATTGTGTCCTCGAATTACCACGATTGTGAAACAACACTATTCCTAAAATCCTAACTAGGTACAAATTTCAAGAAGATTTAATTAGACAGACACACGAACACCGATACAGGTAAAAATAAAAAAGAAACGGTTTTAAAAATAGAAACACAATTACAACACTACCACCGAAAATACCTACCTAAAAACAAATCACCCTTATAAACACGGCACAAAATAAATAGTTGCTACAAAAACACACGAACAATTTACCTGGATATTTAAAAACGTTTAGTTCACAAACACAGTACTGTATAAACCGAGTATCTCAATGAGAATGCACCAACACAAATTGGTCTTCAATATATACTACTTTAGTTACATGCACCCGGTACGCATGTGTACCTACTGAATTTTCCACAGACTGACGAATGTTTAAGAGCGTATACGCGGCACGAATATTCATACAAACTTGAAATTTTGTGTGGAATAGCCATGTTTCGGCACGAATGGGTCGGCTCGATCGCAGTGATACCACGGCCTCATAGAAAACTGGCGTGAAACAACCATATAGTGCTGTGTTTCGAAGTTTGAGTGAGGTTCCCCTGCCCAAATCCCTAAATCTCCAAAAGTCAGCAACGCATTCGTATCTAGCCTGTTGGTGTCCAGAGGCGGTGCTGATTGCTTATCATCGGGTAATCTGTCTGCTTGTTTGCTGTCCTATCACATTGGAATTCGTATGCATTTTGCGTACATCTAAAAAAATCTTCTGAAGCCGGTCTATAAGAGGATCTGGTTATCGAGTTGTAAATGTCACACTTCTTAGATTCTCGTCTCAAAAAGCTAGGAGAGATAAGATATTCACGTAAACGAAAAAAACTTTATTCAAAAGGACTGAGGGACTAAATCTCTACACAAACTTTAAAAAGCCTATAACGACTCACTTTGTGGATTCTGTGATATAAGTTTGCATGAAAACCCCTGAATCATAAACTGTGATAAAGTAGGACAAATATTTCCCATTGTTAGAGGAAAATTAAAATTTTGTTATCAATGTTGACCTAGTTTTAGTAAGGAGATTTTTGTTTACAAAAATTTACCTAATGTCATGGTATTTCTGAATGGTGGAAACTAACAACGTTACTTATAAATCCTTTGAACGCAGTAGAAGATGTTTTTCTTATTCTTTAATACTTGTTCTCTAAATAGATTTGCTTACTTAAAATTTCTCAGTTTGATGTAGGGGTTTCTGCTTACTTTCTGGACTGGAATGAGACTAATGAGTTGTAATGAGAACCAAAAAATAGGACCCAAAACAAGAAAAGAAAAGAAGATTAAAAAGAATACTAGTTAAGTCCTAATAATATTACATGAACACAAACTTGTAGTACAACAACTTGGACCCTTGTCAAAAAAGAACCTTTTGTTCTAAATGTAAAAGATTTTCATCTCAAAAAGGTCCTTCATTAAATTCCTTTGACCTTAATAATTAAGGTTTTATGAAGCAAAGAATTTTGATTGATAGTCTCAGAGAACCTTTATTTTAAGTACTTTACCAACAGTGCTACAAACTTACGTTTGCAGTTGTATAGCGTCGCTACTGTCTCTGAAAATATACTTTTCTATGGATATTTTCTTCAAGCGTTTTAGTTCCAATTTTCTCCATCTACATAAATTAAATTGTGTCAATGTAATTGATTATGCTCAATGTTCTGTGATATTATTGAAAATTCGTTTTGGTTGTTTTATTACGTATTTTCTTTTTTTTTTGTTGACGCTCCACTACGTTCTTGTAAATCGAATTACTTACATACAATTTAAATAAAATATAATAATTCCTTAATACGCATCGAAGACTAGGGCATTTTTGCGAATAAATTTCTCAGATGATCAAACTAAAACTAAATAAAAATATATTGTATTTTTTTCGATTGTAGTATGCTTTCATTCTTGTAGCCATTTTTGACATAGTAGGTATTATTTTGCATTATGTTTACTGTTTTAATTATGGCGAAGTATAGAACTCGAATGGAGTTTCTTACTCGTTCTTTTACATTCGAATCTACAATTTGGAACGCGCACCTAGCTTCAGTACCGAACATATTGACAGACTACTATTCTGTTTTGACGTTTCAAAAGTGCCTATTCATAGTTTAGTTGGAATTAATTATTTTTTTACTTTGATTTTGACTTTGAAGCTCAATTAAGGAACACTTCCAAAAATTGAGATCTAGAAATGTTTGCCCTCTTTACACATTCCGAGGGCTAGAGGTAGACGACCGCATATGTCTTCAATACCGGTATTTAAAGAACTAGTTACGGACCCTTGCCAAGTGCAAAAAATACACCATCAACTCAGCATAGACTAGAATTCCCCTTTGCGTTGAAACTGGCACATCAAAGTAAAACCTTTTTCTTAAGACTAAGTCTAAACTATGTGCCCGTTTTTGTATTTCAAATTGAAATTAGGTGAGAATAAGATTCAAAATACAAAAATGTCTCAATGGTTTAAACCTAGACTAAACGAATGACTAAAAGACTTGTTTTGTAATAGGGTTATTAAGGTTTTATATTAGGAAGGTAATATCATAATTAACATCACTTTTTGTTTTTGCCATGGGTGCTGCTGTTTTCATTTGTTATATTTTCGTCGACTAAAAGGACCACCATGTTTTTTTAAAAAAATAGGAGGCAAACGAGCATATGGGTCACCTGATGGTAAGCGATCGGCGCCGCTCATAGACATCTGCAACATCAGAGGAGTCACAGGCGCGTTGCCGGCCTTGTATCAAAAATTGCTCAGCTAACAAAATTAAATAAGTTATGCACTACGTCTTTATCTATGTTTTTAATATCATATCCCTTCCTTCTTTCCATTGATTCATCCATAAGTATGGGAGAGCCATGCTTCGGCACGTATGGGTCGGCTACCACAGCCTCACAGAAAACCGGCGTGAAACAACCACATCATTGTGTTTCGTCGTGTGAGTGAGGTTACCGAAGGCCCAATCCTTCCCCTCCCCCAATCCCTCCTCAATCCCTAAAATTCAATTCCCTAATCCCTAAAAGGTCGGCAACGCTCTCCTAACTCCTCCGCTGCGGGTGTCCATGGGCGGCACTGATTGTTTACCATCAGGTAATCCGTCCGCTCGTTTGCCGACCTATAAAATAAGCAAAATCCAGCCACCCAGACAAAAAATAATTTATAACAGACAAGTCTATAATTTTATAAACTCTACTATAAAACGCTCCTTCTCACGATTGCATTACTAAAACCACGCACATCCTCGCCCTTTATTGACACAATCATTGACTCATGCAGGATTCTCACAAGCCACATTTTTTATCAGATCAGCAAATATCACGATAACCTATAACAAAGTCGAGGTTTGATCTACAATTCTTAGTAACCTCTATAAGTGGGATTATGACGATGAGCTGATTTTAGTATAGGTAAGCTAAGCTTAGTAGGATTATGACGTTATTGTTGGGTTTTATCCTTTGGATAGGTGAAAGGAACGCCTTCTTATTACTAGTGTAGTTACAAGTTCAATGGTATAGATCCCCCTATAACTATAAACCATGTTTATATTGAGTACAGTTCTAGACTCTATGAAAAATGGCAGGAAACTACCGAAGACACAATAAATAAAAGTTTAAGTGTGGGAGAACCATGTTTTGGCGCAAATGGACCGGCTCGACCACAACCAACGCCTCACAGAATTCCGGAATCAAACAATACTTATGTTGCGTGTCGTCGTGTGAGTGAGGTTACCGGAGAACCAATTCTCCCCCCTAAATCCTCAGTCCCAAAACCCCTAACCTTAAATCCCAAATAACCCACAAAAGGTTGGCAATGCACTCATAGTTCCTCCTCTGGTATAACGAGTGTGTATGATCGGCGCCGAGTTCTTATCATTAGGTAAACCGCCTGTTTGGTTCCCAATCGATCCCATAAAATTAACCAGGATTAGATCTAAAGCCATCAATTATTATGGCGCTTCCGGCCCCCCGATCAACGCAGCAATTATAATCAACAAAAATAATAAAATAAGAATCAAAGTCATCGATCTAATTAAAGCTTTCTTAGAAGCCGATGAATTATTTAAAGAGTTATTGCAACATAAATTATTTAACAATAAGTTTTGTTTCTCATCATACAGTCCAACGGGTTTCCAGGAAAAATTTTTTTCTCCCAAATGGATTTGAATTTGATCTGGTACACGTCGATCGTAGGGTACAATCTTAAGGCGAGGTGGGCCCAAATTTACGTTTTTTAAAACAATCTGAGACAAAAAGACAAAAATGATTTTCTTAACTACTAACTAACATAGTTAATAAGAATTAAAAGCGGTCGCGGCGACTCGGCTCGGGCAACTCTTGGTAGCGTTTAATACCCATAGCTTATCGCTTGGCCTACACGCCCTTAAAATGTATGATCTTTTGAAACTAGTAACCTAAAAGATTTACAAGCATAGTAAGTTAAACCTTTTAGTTCTCAAATGGAACTCTATGACACATTTCTGATATGCAGAAATGTGTCATGGAGTTCCATGTTATAAAACAAATCGTACAAATAGTTCGACACGGAAATTTAATCTATAAGTTGGATATTTGCGATCGCGACAACTCGAGATTCCGAAAACGTAACAAAGTTGAGAATAATATCAGACAATAAGCGAACTGCAAAATGTGCAAAGTCATTCGAGGTTACGTCAAAAAGTAGGTCTATGCGGGCCAAAGATAACGATTTAACACGTGCAATCTGATTGTTTACACTCTATAAGTAGTATTTAGCACAAATAAAGAAATTAAGTCAATCAGTCAACAACAAAATCAACATTCCAAACATATTATAGATTCACACTATGGCACCCTGGCGTAGAAATGTCATGGTGGGGTGTGGAGAAAAAGGCTGATTTAAATAAATAGGCCCAGAGTAAATACCTCATCCTCCAGGCCATCACGTCATTTTTCTTGTGCATGAGAAGTTCGGTATGGGGCAAATAACTTTTTTTTTTAATGTAATAAGTAGGCAAACGAGCAGACGGATTACCTGATGGTAAGCAATCAACGCCGCTCATGGACACCCGCAACGGAGGAGTTACGAGTGCGTTGCCGACCTTTTAGGGATTAGAGATTTGGAGATTTAGGGATTGGGGAAGGGTCCGGGAAGGGGAAGGATTGGGCCTCCGGTAACCTCACTCACACGGCGAAACACAACGCTGTGGTTGTTTCACGCCGGTTTTCTGTGAGGCCGTGGTATCACTCCGGTCGAGTCGACCCATTCGTGCTGAAGCATGGCTCTCCCACACTTGGTTTTAACTAGTAAAAAGCAATATGCGTATTCCAAGTTATACCTACTTCCGACTTCAAACCTATAAATAGGTAGCACATAGAATGGATAGTGTTTTATTATTAATATTAAAAGTATTAGCTTCGCGTACGTAAGAATGGTATTAAAATATCTATTTTAATTATTTGAAACTTTTTTGTTTTTGAAGTCGGTTTTTTTAAACGTAGTTTTTTTAATTTTTTACTTTTTAGTTTCTGTTACAAGTTCTTCTGTAAACTACAGTAACATTTTAAATATAAATTAACATACTGAATAGTATATATATTTTTTAAGTAGCTATGTGTAGGCCTACGAAGGAGCCGCTCGATTAAAAAATATAATTCCCAAGAAATGGGAAAATTCTCATCATCATCATCATCATCATCACCAGCCTTTTTTATGTTAATTAAGTCCAAACACGAGGTAGCTACTGTAAACCGTTGAGGAGTTCCCTAGACTATCAATGGTCTTCATCATCAGGTAAACTGCAGACCTTCAGTTGTTATGATCCATAGTGGTACAGAGTTTTCATCAATATAAATGAATTAAGTTCAAACACGAAGTAGTTACTGTAAACCGTTCAGGAGTTCCCTGAGCTGTCCTTCGTTCTCATCATCAGACCCTTAATGATAGTTACGACCTAGCCTGGTGCAAAGTGCTCGCCAATACGAGTCATTCAAGCCCAAACACAAGGCAACTACTCCAAATAGTCAAGGAGATCCCTCGACTGTCTTCCAGCTCCAACATCTGGTCGACTTCGACCTTCGTCAAGTTGTAGTGTTGTTAAAGGTCTACTTAAACATCATACAAAAAAACTACTCGCCCCTACAATTTTCGAAAGTTCCCTTCGGCTTCTCCGGGATTCCATCATCAGATCCTGACCTCATGACAATGGGACCAAATGGCAAGTATACCCTATCGAATAAAAAAAAATTTGCAAATCGGTCCAGGCGTCTTCGAGTAATCGGTGTACTTATAAAAAAAAAATACTCTTCGAATTGAGAACCTCCTCCTTTTTTGAAGTCGGTTAAAAAGGATATGTTACAGTACTTTAAAGCGTAATATTGAAAGCAAGGTCAAGACTAAAACAAAGATCATAACTTGTTATCTCTTATCGCTTGGCCCTTATCCAACTAGGTTAGGGCCAGAACTGAGAGGTAACATTTTAAAATCATAACGTCTTAAAACGCAGCGCTGTGTTGCAATCTGCAAGTGTAGTTAACACTAAGAAAGACTTGATGTTCTTTCCTAGAACAAAGTAAAGAGAGGACGGCACGGTTGGCGCTGTGGCTGGGCAACTAGCTGCCGCGCAACGTGTCGCGAGTTCGATTCCCTCGAACTCTTTGTGTGATCCACAGATTGTTGTTCCGCGTCTGGGTGTGATGTGCATGTGAAATTGTATGTTTGTAAACGCACCCACGACACAGGAGAAAATCCTGATGTAGAGCAACGTTATATATTTAAAAAAAATAAAAAAGAGTTATCAACGTTTCTTATCAGTGTAACTATACTTTTAACATTCTGTAAATTGAATTTTATTGACGCCGCTAATAGGCACATGCAACACCAGAGGAGTTACAAGTGCGTTGCCAGCCTTTTGGGGATTAGATTTCGGCGATTTAGAGATTGGGGAAGGGGAAGAGGGATTGGGCCACCGGACCTCACTGATACGGCAGAACACACCGTTGAAGTTGTTTCACGCCGATTTTCTTTGAGCCAGTGGTATCACTCTGTTCGAGGCAAAACATTCGTGCCGAAGCATGGCTCTCCCGCTTTTCCAAAAACACGTCTGATTTCAAGGAAACGTTATAATTACGTCGTTTTTTTAAATTATTAATATCGTTCTATTCTAAAAACACCTATTTAACTGGTTCCTAGTATTCTACTTACAATGTTCGGTAAAACAACAAAAATACCATAGTAATATTCAATGGTATTTTGTTGTAAGTGTTTGTGGTAACCGTAAAAGAAAAACAGTACATTCGTTACAGCTGATACAATGTAAGGTCTGCGAGAAAAATATTATAACTCATTAACTACCTAAATTCGTAATAGACGAAACAATAAGCTGCGACTACGCACAACCATAGTAATCTTCTAAGAACCATTAGTAGATACATAAAAATACAATAATTATAATTTATGATGTCATTTTTACAATAAAATATTGTAAAAGTACAAAAAATGAAAGTTTAGTAATGATGTTATTTCAGATAAATAACTTAACTATAAAAAACATACATATGTATTCTTATTTTGCTTAGTAAAACGTACGTCCTGCTGTAAAAAATCATATGGTTACAATATTTTTAGAAGCGCGTCAAGAGAGCTCTATTTAAATAACTATAAGAAACATAAAAAATTGAGAATAAAAAAACATTACGTGTCCTGAAATCTTTTCTCCCCTTGGGTGGAATGCGATTAAATGATGATGATAACCTTTTCCTCAGGCCAAGAAATACCACCTAAATCAACATCAAACGAACCTTGATGCACAATCTACGATCCTAAATCCCAGAATAGCGAAGCGTACGAACAAATATGGATCGTCTTGTCCATCCATAACTTCATAGGAAAATGGCGTTAGAACGACATGACATTGAAAAACAACAAATATTTTGTTTTTCTTGACTCAACACTCATAATTGGCCTAGACATACATTGCATTTACACAATTGTTTAAGCACACGTGAATATCCCAGTTGACCTGAGATGTTCTATTATAAGTAGTACCTGTACAGACAACTGTACAGGTTTAAATTTATTTAACAATACAATACAATTTAGACTGTTTAAATTGTATTATTAGCATTTTATATCACTGCACTTTGTCATTTTGTATCAATAAGTATCAATACATTCTCGTTACAGAAGTTTGTGTTATTTTATCATTACTACACCATCTTCCTATCTATATCAACGAGAAGCAGTCAACCTATCATCTATCATGCAAGTGTAGGCGCTTACAACCCCTACAGTACTTATACTTCATAGGTTGTAAGGATACGCAGAGGCAAATTAAATTAAGCCTATAAGTGACCACTGCTGTTCAAATTTTTGTAAACAATAAATTTTGTGTAATTTAATTCAATACGGTATGTGTGTTGGGTTTATTGTTCTTTTGAATAAGCAAGAAAAATACGAACTTTTTGTAGGTTCATAATTATATCGTCAAATCAATGATTTATTTTATTATATTTTATTATAAAGTTGAATTAATGACGTATTCAGAAATCCAACTGAAGATAGCAACTTAAATTAATGTTATTTAAGTTAAGAATGCAATACCGAGATATCGAAAATCCAAACTGAAAATCAAACCACAACCTTGAAAATCAAGGTAGTCAGGCGTTCGGACAGGAAAATATAATTTAATACATAAACATAACAATCCAAATGATTCACATTTCATGGAAATCAAGGGCCGACCTTAACCCAGAAGATAATTAAAGAGGTTGTATCAACTTTACGTACTTCATTGAACTAATATTATTATGACAATTTCTCAATTACTTTTACAAACACTTCGTTCGAAGATTCTGAGATTTCTAGATAAGAGGCCATTCAAGTACTTACAGAAGGCCTAATTATTATTATTATATTTTTTGTCAGCACAAATGACTTCTCCCGCCCAAGGTAAGGCGAGAGAGAGTGTCATCAGACTCTGACTGACTAAAAACCCCCCGTTCCTTCTCCTGCTTTAGGCCGAGGCCGTGGTGCCACGTTGTGCTTACCCTGCAACTCCGGCTGAACATCAGCCCTATAGGGCTCCGTCTGTGGTGGTCTATTGGCTCTTCGAGGCGCGCGTGGAACACTACGCGCCGTACGTTCGGGTTTGGTTCTGGTCGGGCCCAGACCCTCGCTTACGGTGGCAGGTGATCGTGTCTCGATCCCCGACGCTCAGAGTGCCGCCTACTGCGGCTACTGGGGCGCGTAGAGGAGGATAGGTCTCTTACGCGGTCCGCCTCCTTCTTTGCAAGCATAACTGCTTCACAAAAAGATTGCACTCGCAACTTAATTTTAAAAAGAGTTGATAAGAATATTTTATTCATAATATACAAATGCTTTCAAAGGGTCCATTTAGCAATTTTTCCTACATCATAAGCTTGTAATTGGCAATATGACAGTTTCCTAATTACATAATATATACCAAAAATATACCAAATTCATACGACAACAATTGGGTAGAAGGTGAATATAATTGTTTGAAAAGGGTTTAACCCCTGTGAGGTCCGGATGGTGTTTACTTATTCATTCAACATAACGAAGGGCACTCTCATCGTTTTCGAAGAACATTACTTACTCATACTTTTTAAATATCACTTAGCCAGGACTTCATTTGGCATATTTCATGCATGTACCAGATTATTTCCAGAATTTAATTTATAATAATCTTATTAATATGTGATTTTTATTTTATGAAATAAATAATTATCGGTCAAACGGAATTGAATGGAACCGGTAAAATAATTCATACTTGTTTTTTAATGACAGATTTTTGTTTTTAATTAGTTTAATGCTCATTGTTATAAAATAAAAATCTATTGCATTATTTCAAATTTATTATAACTATTAACATAAATACATGTTTTGACATGACACTCTGTCTGTTCTAAACACAATTTTTTTATACACGTGCAAGGGAAATGACATGGATGTGTAAAAATTGTTGCAGCAAAAAGTGTTAATATCACCAGCGTATAAGTGCCCCTATTAAGCAAAGGCCTCTTCTCATAGGAAAAAGGTTTTAGCATTAACCACCACACTTAGTCAAGGCGTAGATACTATGAAAGAATAAATCCAAGTTTCACGATGTTTTCCATCACCGCATGTCATTGACGTCTAAATAAACTTAGTACCTAAGTAAGTTCAAATTGGTCAAAAAAGTAAAAATAAAGAGATAAATAGCGTAATAAGTATTTAAGTAAAATCTAATCCTAAGATACCCATTCCAAATACAACTCATTTGTAGTAAAGAAGTTATGAAAAAGGTTTTAGTAAAATCCAATCAGTAAATAATGGACATACTGAACAACGAGAATTATACTAGGTACTATCACCATTTTGTTTCTAGTTTCAACAAACGAGCAAGAATATATACAAAACTTATTAAAAAAAACTCACATTTTCTATATATCGACACTAAGGTTATGATACGGGTCAAAAACACCGTATTTCAATATTAACTTGGTATCAATGAAAATTCTTGAAGAAAATTCAGTGGTTAATTTTCTTGCCAAAGTTTTCGGATGGAGGTCCATTCATCTCTGTTTTTAGAACGGTGTAAGTTATTTTCTATGATTTTGAATAGAAATAAAAATACTTTCATAATTTACGGAGATTCAAATGTCTCTGAAATATAGCTGAGCGAAAAATGTGAATACTACATACATTTTTATGGAATAGGAAGCCAACAAGCAGAAAGATCACCTATTGGGAAGAGGTTAGAGCTTGACAGAAGATACATACGTGTGCGGTACCTGGTTCTAAAAAGGAGTGCAAGTTAAGTGTTTGAAGGTTGTATCGGAATGGAAATGCCGTCGCCAAAGGATCACTCTACCGCTTGACTGTGCGAGACAGAAAATTAAAACGTGAAAACAGTTGCTGTCTGCGAATCATGTCAGTTAATAAGTCTTCAGCTTCGCATTTAAGTGACCACTAGACATCAAGCGACGTCTATGTACTGCATTCAGGATTAAATGGAATGTTTCTTTTCAATCCTGGACAATCTTTGTCAGCCTTATCGCCAAATATTAAGGGTCTTGTGTGATAGGAAATAAGCCTATGGCCATACAGAACATAATGAAATAACACTCTCTGTCTCTCTTAATACATATCACACATCACCAGCCCATAAGTGCTCACTGCAGTGCAAAAGCCTCGTCATATTGAAGAAGATTGAGCATTTATCACAGAGCTCGCTCAATGCGGATTGGCGATTTTGACAAAATTATAATTATAATAATATGTCTAGGTTTCTTGATGTTTTCTTTTACTTTTCTTTAGTAGCGTCTAAATACAATTAGAAAGTACATATTGCAAAAAGTCACATTGGTACCTTGTTGAGTTCTAATCCACACCTTGATACATGACAAGGAGGTACCTTAACCTCCGGGTCAGGCCGACCTATGTAATAAATACTGACTCAGAAAAAGAGAAAATTGTCGACGGAAACTTCATAAAAGGGAACCAATATAAAGGTATTAGATAATTTGACCTTGACCTAACATCGGGAGCGGATGAATATTTTATCGAATTCATAAGAATGCCTTCTAAGCCTTGAATTAGGTGTGAATTATTATTTATTCTCTGAAAAAGGGATTTCGTTTGTTGTTGAGGATGTTTGACTTAATATTCCTTGTTAATAATTATGTTTCTTCGCATTTTTTTTATTGTATTTTTAAGCTTCCGTATTTTATGTTAGGAGTCTTTTTCGGATGATTAAGTTAAAGGTATATTTTACCACCTTCACTTATTACGAACGGACCGGCTCGACCGGATATCACGGCATCACTGAATATCGACGCGTCAAATAATACTTTCGTCTCATTACACAATGTGAGTTAACGAAGGCTCAATTCTTCCCCCAAAATCCAATTTTTCCTTAAATCTCTAATAAACCACAAGGAGCTTGAAACGCACTCACAGGTGTTGTGGGTACCCATGGCTGGTACCGATTGCTTGCCATCGAGTGAATCCTAAAAAAGAATCCGAAAACGTAAATATATTATTATATAATATGGCGTGCAAATTGATTTATACTCCTATATTCCAATTTATCTAGTAACCAGCGTTTTCCCGCGACTCCGTTCGCGTGGAATAGTGACTACCTGCAGATTTTTGGTATACAAACTATCCTATGTCCTTTCTCGAGTTCCCAACTATGTCTGTACCAAATTTGACAGAAATCGGTTCAGTAGCTTGGGCGTGAAGAAAAGACAGATAGACAGACAGAGTTACTTTCGCATTTATAATACGAGTATTAGTTTGGATTGTAGCTATTCAAACTTTATATAACACGCCTTTCGTTAGTGACAGTATCGAGTTTGAGACGGCCAGCGTGATTTTCTTGCGAAAACCACCCTATAGTCATAGAATTAATTCGACAGGCAGATTGTCTACCGCTGCATACCGTCTGTTTTAAAGTATTATTTTTCCTTTAAGAACATAATTTTGTTCATATGATGGGCACATTTCACAACGGACTTAAGTGACCAAAACTTGCTTAACTCACAGCCAAAAAACTTCTGCCTACATCTCAACTATTAAGTTACAAACAAAGCGTAGTTTTGTGCTCTCACTACCACTAATTGTGGATCAAAATTAATGAATTTCAACGTGTAATTAGTTGAATGACCCGGCACATTTAGGTAGTGGAAGACATGCCGCGAACTATGTTTAGGTTAATAAATGTTTGCTTCTGTTATTAGGAGAAAACTAATTATGAATTGTTATTGAGTACTTACCTAATAAGGATGATGAATATTATTTTAATATCTGTATTTTATTAGAACATAGATTAATTAAAAACAATAAACTATAGACGTATGTACCTCTTCTGTTTTTATAAAATCAAGAAGTATCCTGTGTGGAACGCTTTTGCCGGAGTCATCAATGGACCAAGCTAGAATGGTAGATGGAAATGAAGGCCGCCACATCCTTCCCCAATCCCTTGATCTCTAAAAAATCCCCAAAAGGACGGCAACGTACTCGTCAGTCCTCCGTTGTTGCGGATGTCCATGGGCAGCGCTGATTGCTTACCATCAGGTAATCCATATGCTCGTTTACCGTCCTATCACATAAAAAAGGATAGCATTAAAACCTAAAGTATGGAAGACCTGTTCACGATGACGATGATCAAACTACCAACGACCATTGATTCTTAAAACGTAACCCCACACTATTGTTTTCTCCTGTGTCGTTGCGCTTATAAAGATACAATTTCAGATACACATGACACCCACACCCCGAAACAACAATTTGTGGATCACACAATGAGTTGTTCTCATACTGGAATCTAGTCACTACGCCAAGCGTGCACTCAGAATTATTTGTGGCACTATGTCAAACTCAAAGTCAAAGTCAATATCAAAATAATTTATTCCAACTAACCATACAACCATAAACAGGTACTTTTGAAACGTCAAAAACAAAAAAAAAATTATATTGTGATAGTCCGTCAGTGACGCTAGGAGCACTAGGTAAGTTCCCAACTTTTGCCAAAATAATGATTGTATAGGTATACATGTCTATTCTCAATTTTATTTTTCTTCATCATCATCAGCCTATAAGTGCCCACTGCTGAGCAAAGGCCTCTTCTCATACGGAGAAGGTTAGAGCATTAATCACCACGCTTGCTCAATGCGGGTTGGCGATTTCAAACTTATAATTAGAAATTATAAGTTCAGGTTACCTCACGATGTTTTCCTTCACCGTATGTCAGTGGTGTCTAAATTATCATAGAAAGTACATATAACTTGGAAAAAGTCGCATTGGTACTTGCCAGGTTTCGAACCCACACCCTCATGCATGAGAAGCGGGCTCCTTAACCTCCGGGCCACCACGACATATCTATCTCGTCGTCATATATATCTTATTTTTCGTTTTATAATATTAGTTCATAAATATTTGAGAGTTATAGCGACACTTCTATCGGCTGATAGAAAGTTCCGAACTTTGAGTGAACACATCCAAGTTTTGATACCGCAACGTGTGGCCACAGTCGGAAAGTTTTCTAATTATTCATTCACGCCACAAAACATTCGCCGCAAGAGAGTTTTTGACTGCAATGCTTTTCGATGAGCATATGATGATGTAGGTATTTTCATCATGTCTGGAAAAAAAAGTTGAAAGAAAATAAATGCGGTGTAGGATTTTTTCCAAACTCTCAGAAAGAGATTTAAAAGGCATTATATCAGATGACCGTTGGGGTAAACGTGTTCTAGAGTGGAGACCACGTCTAGGCAAACGTAGTGTAGGGCGCCCTCCAGCTAGATGGACTGAAGACATCCGCAGGGTGGCTGGCAATGGTTGTATGAGAAGAGCTGAACATCAAGCTGATGCTCGATGATGATGCTGATGATAATATGTCCAGTTTGAAAAACAATTAAATAACATTTTTAAAAAATGCTTTGTCGCGTGAAAAAACTAAAAACTATGTGTTATGATATTAATTATTGCATTTAGATAAATATGTTCCCTAAAAAATGTGAAAAAGCAGTATCTCTGTCAATGGCCATTTTCATTAAATAAATCAATAAATAGTATTCGCTTGAACATTTAATATGGTATAGAAAACCAATTGATTTTCTACAGTAATTTAATAAAAAATGGCGCTCGAAAATTGGCTTAGCCACTAAAAGCAATCGGGATGGCCAATTTGTTATCCAAGCGAGAAATAAGCATCAAAGCCCAGATGTGGCTACATACGACCACAATTTGGAGAAACATGTTAGTTCGAAAGAAATTGAACCTTTTTTTATGTCATAGGTCTTCGAATGAGCACACTGATAACCTGATGGTAAGCAATCGGCGCCGCTCATGGACACTACCAAAGGAGTTAGTTACTGCAAGTGCTTTGCCGGCCCGTTGTTGAATGCTAGGCATTTAAGGATAGGGAATTTGAGGATAAAGAATGGGACTAGGGGGGAAGATTGAGCCTCCGGTAGCCTCACTCACACGGCAAAACCTCGCCAGCGCCTACGTTGCTACCTAAAGAATTCATTACCTACCTATGTATACATATATTTCGCACTTGATTCAGTAATGGCAACTATCCTTTCTTTATTATCCCATCCTATTTTTCTATATGACTTAACGCTAAAGATTGAATTTTCCATATCTTTTGAAGTAGCGACAGGTCCCTGTTACTATTTGATGGATGTTAATAAACATGTAGCCTTCCTTTTAATCACTCTATCTATTTCAAAACCGAATCAAAATGCGTGGCATAGTTTAAAAGATTTAAGATTACATAGAGATATAGAAAAGGGACAAAGAAAGCGACTTTGTTTTATAGTATGCAGTGATGCTTCTTTTTATTCATGTTAAATTCTTCATTTAAATATAAATTTTACCAGATTTCTCTTGCTCTTGGATATCTTCTAGGATTGTTTTTAGACTTTCCATAGACTACAGCTAATGAATTAATTAATTGTATACTTACTTAACTCTAGTATACTTATACAAATAGCCTGCTGCAAAACAATGAAATATTTTGTGACAAAAATGTCTTCTATAACTTTAAGACAAATTTGCTACAAACTATCTCCGATAACCTTACAAAAAGATTAACTAACAAATGCTCAGTAATAAAAAGCGATAAATCTTTGTTATTCATGTTGGAAGTTGTTTGGGCCGAAACATAATTTATGGGTCTAAGGTAAACTGTATCGAAAGCACTCAAGGGAAGATAGCTGATCGGTTTAATGCTTTTAAATATCTTACTCAATTTGGGTGAAGGAAAACTTTTGTGTTTGAAGTTAATTTGGACAATATTTTGTGAAACAGATACCTATATAGTTAACAATGATGATTGGATTTATTTTCATTTCGTTAAAATAATTCTGTTAGAAGAGAAAAGAGTTTGAAAATATAAAACGTTTGTTATTAATTTCAGCAAACAAAAGCTAATCTATTTTTTTTTCTGCTGTGTTTATCTAGTTTTATTATAGTTTGATTGGTTCACTGTTAACGTTTTATTATATTTGTATATTATTGCTAAGATTTCTATGATTGTTAACACACTACTGACATTCGGTGAAGGTAAACATCGTGAGGAAACCTGGACTTATAATTTCTAATTATAAGTTTGAAATCGCCAACCCGCATTGAGCAAGCGTGGTGATTAATGCTCTAACCTTCTCTGAATGAGAAGAGGCCTTTGCTCAGCAGTGGGCACTTATAGGCTGATGATGATGATGATATTATTTCTTTCAATTCTTAAAGATCCATATCTAAGTTTTCAACGTTCTCGAAAGTACCCCACTCTGGAACTAATTGCACTTTCCATGTTCACACATAGACCCTACACATTGCGTGCCGTCCATCGATTGGTAGTGAGCTTCTTGCTAGCGGTTTAGTAACATAACCAGTGTATATTTATCGTTAGGTACCCGGTTGGCACGGTGACTGGACAACTTGCTACCGCGGCGTGTGTCGCAGTTTTCGATTCCTGCACGCGTATGCGTATTTGGGTGTATATTCACCCGGGGTTGTGGGGCAAGCGCATGACCGCATTACGGACTCGACCTAGAGCAGGAGAAGGGACGAGGGTGTTTCAGTCAGTTAGAGTCTAATATGCCGCCTCACCCTTAGCGGGAGAAGTCATTAATTGATGATTTTCTACTCACTAAAAAAACATTATGTTTTGTTTATGGAAAGGTTTTATATGTTTGTACACACAGGCAAGAACCTAGAGTGAAGCAACGTATAAAAATCCTTATTTATTTATTTCACTGACAATCATCAATACAGACAATATAGCCCTCATACAAAATATTCAATACGAATTGTCTTTTTAATATAAAATACGTCCATAAATATTTTATTGACGCCTAACAAAGCTCTAATTCACTTTAGAATAAGATACAAAATTCCCTGCAATTAGTAAATAATGCTGACTTAGACCGAATTTTATGCGAAAAATCTATCCAACACAGACTTTATTTCAAGCCTCTCAAAGTCAAAATCTTTAAAGGGTGAAATCTCGGATTAAAATGCCAATGACTTAAACTCCTCTTAAAAAGGATTTTTGGTACAAAAGTTTCAGAATTTGAATGCAACTGAATGGCTCGCTGTAATGTTTGTTTTCGAGAAATCCGATTCTTGAAGTGTAGTTTTAGCTAGCACAGCAGTAGTTGGCAAATAGCTTAAGAGTTTTTAAAGTAACCTTGAGTTGAAATAGACGTCTGAACTCGTTACTGTATATTTAGGTTTTAATTTAAAACTATAGAGGAGTGTCGGATTTAAAATATTTTCAAGTAACCATTGTAGATTTTCCACTTTTAATCCATATACTAATATTATAAATGCGAAAGTAACTCTGTCTGTCTATCTGTCTTTTCTTTACACCTAAACTACTGAACCCATTTGTGTGAAATTTGGTACAGACATAGTTTGGGCCTCGAGAAACGACATAGGATAGTTTATATACCAAAAATCTGCAGGAAGTTTCACGCAAACGGAGTCGCGGACAATAGCTAGCTGTATATTAAATATCAGTCTTTTGTTTAATAGTCCAATCTTAAACTTAATCGCCGTAAGTATTGCCGACATAAATATAATACATAAAACTCCTTATAAGTACTAAGTGGGAAAAACTAATACAGGAAGCAAACATCTATATGTAATTGGCAAGCCTCTTCACGCAGCCGTTCACTTCCCGTCTACTACAAATACATCGTCCCGCGTATTTTCCTTTACTAAAAATACGTTTGGATATTTCCAAACTATCTACAACTGGACTTTTACTTAATTTCCCAAATGACTCATAACATTTTTCAATACTGTGATAACTTTTACCAACATCTAACTTCTTTTGCATGTGGCGCTAGTGTCGTTTTAAAGCGTCTAACGCCTTATTGCTCTAAACCTTATCAAACTAATATTCGCTTATTTTAAATACATATCTGGTAAGAAAATATATCAGAATTAAATGATCCGCCAATTAAACTAATTAAAACATTATGCATTATAAAATTGGCCCTTTTGAGGGGAGGAGGCAATAACCAAATGACTCTTCCAGCCTAAGGTGAGGCGAGAAGAAAAGCAAGACTCTTACTGACTAAAAATAACACCGGTCTAAATGTGAATTTGAATTTTGTTGATAGAATTTTAGTTCCTCTTTTATCCGTCTACATAAATAAGTTTGTCATATTGTTGTACATGACAACAATATTATAGGGGTACCTACTATCAATTATGATGTACTTTGTATGAATCATTATGAACTGGTGCGGGTAATAATTATGCTAATTGATTAACCATCGTGACATTGCTATCTCGATTTGTTCTTGTTCTTGTATATGATTAAATGATCTCAAATACATAGGTAAGTATTTTTTTATGTGATAGGTCGGCAAACGATCAGACCATTACCTGATGGTAAGCAATCAGCGCAACATCAGAACACCCGCAACAACAGAAGAGTTACGAGTGCCTTCCCGACATCTTGGGGATCAGGGATTTGGAAAATTTAGGGATTGGGGGTCATTCACACGACGAAACACAACGCTGCGGTTGTTTCACGCCACTTTTATATGAGGCCGTGGTGTCACTCTGATCGAGCCGATCAATTCGTGCCGAAACATGGCTCCCCCACACTTCAATTATTTAAATCTATTGTTGAACACTGTGCTCAGAGCCATTAAAAATTTACTTAATCGAGTGCTTAAGAATGGGTTTCGGAACAAAATCGTTATCTTTACCTTGCTGTAAAACCTGGAAATAATAACTATTCTACTCTAGAGCCAAGAAGGAGTGTCAGACTCTTACTGACTAAAAATCAATCTATCCTTCACCTGCTCCACCCGTCCGCGGTGCATCATTACGCTTACATCCGCAACCCTGGCTGGAATGTATTAAAAATAGATGTACGACCTTCAAACCTTCAAGAAACGAGCGTACTCCTTCTTAAAAGGCCGGCAACGCCCGTGTGACTCCTCTAATGTTACAAATGCCCATGGGCGACGCTGATCGCTTACCATCAGGTCATCCGTCTGCTCGTTTGCCTCCTATTCCATAAAAAAAACCAGCACATGTCGGGCACGCCTAGAGCTGGGGCCCGGTCGCGGATCTGGGTGACTTGGTGTTCTGCCTCGACCTCGAACATTGAAGTGACTATTGCGGTGAACCGCCTTGTGGACAGCTGAATCCAGTCAATGAACGAGTATATAAGAAATAGTTAACTAATGTACGATTGTGGTTGACAATTGTTTCGATGCTTTTTAGGTTTTGACATTTTGGTAACTACCCTTTACATTACATTTATATAGGACTGGTATGGGTTTTTAATGTTTAGAGAAACGTTTAATTAAATGTATTGACTTGTTAGTAGATTGAATTTAACCTAGAATCAATCATTTATTACACTCATATTATTATATTATTACTTTTTGATCGTAACTTGTACTTATTCACGTTACAGATACATATATATATAGTGTTTCGTTACATATTTTACTGTACTATATAATACAAATTTTAAATTATTTTGTTCATCTAGCCTGAAACACAGGATATTGTAGTTTAGGTACGTAAGACTCGGATTTAAGCTCAAATATATCTAAGTAATTTATCCTGTAAAAGAAAATATTAATTACGTATTTATTATTTTATTCATAATACTATATATTTGTCGAATTCTCACTTCTGTTTGATATGTCGATTGCTTGTTCAAGCAATTATGGACAAAGCTTATCAATGATCAGGATCAATGACTAGGCTGATCACCGAATTGTGTAATAGAAAAAAAAAAACAATTGAAAACTCCACTTACAAATACTTTAAGAATTATCAAACACATAGAAAACATGGATACTAAATTGAATTTAATAATAAACAGAGGAAATAGTCGTACAAAATTTCCTTATATTATATCTGTATATACATGTGTGGGTAAACGAACCAGAGATCGTTACCTCCAATTGCCGACCGGGATTTGCATACCAATCGCAGAGTTGAGTAAATGGATGCATTACGTTCGTACAGGCGATAAGGTCGAAATTGCCGTAAATTGTTATACTCTCTAGGTTACAAGGTTTATGTGTATCATTAACATAATACATATATTATTTTGCTTGTTACTGCTTAAGACGCGATGTAGAAGTGCATAACTTTTATTAATCTTACCAACTTCTTCTTCTTCTTCTTCTTAAAAATAATACAAGTTTTTTTTTTTTTGAAGTAGTGATATCATTAAAATTTTGGTGTCTGGAAGATAGTGTCAGACTCTTACCGATACTTCTACTACTTCAGATCGAGGCCGCAGTATGTTAAGCACAGCCAGGGTTGCGGGGTAAGCGCAACGAGGCACCGCGACCTCGGCCCAGAACAGGAGAAGGAACAGGGGGTTTTTAGTCAGTAAGAGTCTGACACTCCCTCCCGCCCGGCCCTGGGTGGGAGAAGTCATTTGATTATTTTCCCCCACACAAAAAAAAGTATGCTAAGCAGGTAGAATTTCCAATCACAAAACTTACTTAGCATTGTGCTATTGAAAAGATTTTAGTGCATCCTTAAAAGAAAATGAATTTTTATGTGTTTCGCTCCATTCGGAAGTCATTTTGAAAACTGGAAATAAAGCTAATTCTACTACGACAGAGAGTAACGGTGGAAACAAAAATAAACTTCATTTCTTTAAAATACGGTTGAATTTTTACTGACATTTGACATGCGACATGTAATTTTTTCGACTTTATTGTTAGTCTGTTAAATCTCCCACAGTTCCTCCTTCTTCCATTCCTAAATCCTCAACCCAACCAACCCTCTTCAAGACTGTCAACGCACTCGTATCTCTTTGGATACTGCTTACCATCAGTTAATCTGTTAGCTAGTCCTATCACATAAAAATATAAAATCTAGAGTCCTCAAGCTCAGCTTAACTAATAGCCTACCAGTCACCACCTCACATCACCCAATAATTATATTGTTATGCAAATAAGTAGGTAGGTACTATGACGTGTCATACTTGATAGCAAGAATAGTTTTATCACAAGATCGCAGGTGCGACTATTAATGGGAAAAACAATTATTTAATCGAACGTCATTTGATTAGGAATTCTTCCTTTATGTTTTTATGGAATATTTTTGTTATGACTAATTTGTCCTTTTATGTAGAAAATAGTCAGTTATTTTTTATTTTTAGAGTTTTCATAAAGTTTGGCGCCCGTAATTTTTAGTAGTTGCTTTGTTGTGTTTCGCCGTATTAGTGGGGTTACCGAAGGCCAGGCAAAGAAACCCTTATCCTCCCCAAATCCCTAAATTCCCTAACCCCTAATCTCCAGAAGGTCGGTAACGCACTTGTAACGCTTTCGTTGTTCATCAGGTAATCCGTCTGCTCGTTTGCAGTCATAGTAAAAAAGTCCCTAAACTTTGTTCCTGTTAAAATTGCTGCCTGGAATAAATCGTATAAAAAACATTTATTACAGTTCTGTAAAACAAAAAACGACTTCTACAAAGAAATCGTAACTGTCCTAACCTTTGCTACTACATCACATTACAGAATGACAAAAAATCTTCATCATAAGCTTCATAAGCTTTAAAGGTCGGGTTCATAAATGCGTAGGCAGGCAAAAAGGGCACCGAAATAATTTAGGGATTTCTCTTGAAACACTGCCTTGTAGTCGCTTGGGGCTCTAATTCGTTGGTTTCGTTTCGTAAAATAATTGTGATAGATTTCAAAAGAATTGTTATTCTTATCAACATTAAATCATAACATGTTAGGGTAAAGGTTAAAGCTATGGATAAAAAGACTAGTATTAGTCAGTTCTATCTGGATATTTAAGCGGCAAAATTTTAATGAAATAATCTCTAAGCAATATAATATATTTATAGAGACACAATTTTTTTTTTTTTGTGAGGTCATCAAATGACTTCTCCCGCCCAGGGCCGGGCAGGAGGGAGTGTCAGACTCTTACTGACTAAAAACCCCCCTGTTCCTTCTCCTGCTCTGTGCCAAGGTCGCAGTACCTCATTGCGCTTACCCCGCAACCCCGGCTGAACATCAGCCCTTGAGGGCCCTGTCTGTGGTGGTCGAATGGCTCTTTGAGGCGCGCGCGGAACGCTCGGGCCTGGTTCTGGTCGGGCGGCAAGCTGCCCTTACTCGCCGACCGCAGGCCCGTGCTTACGGTGGCCGGAGATCGTCCCTCGATCCCCGACGCCCGTAGTGTCGCCAATTGCGGCTGCTGGGGCGTGAGGAGGAGGATTGCTCCCTCACGCGGGCCGCCTCTCTCTTTGCGAGCATGACTGCTTCACAAAAGGAAGAGACGGCGTCCCAGTTCCTCTCACTCCGCACCATGGCCTCGACTAAGGCCGGGCGCGAGAGGTCGCCGCCGCCGATCACTTCCCTGAGGATACGGCAGTGCTCAGCCCAGGCAGGGCATACCGCTACCGTATGCTCCACCGTATCCTCTAGGTGGTCCTCACAATGACGACACTCGGGCGTTTCCTCCCGCTGGATCCGAAACAGGAACCTACCGAAGCTGCCGTGCCCGGTAAGCACCTGCGTCAGGCGGAAGGTGAGGACGCCGTGGCGTCTCTCAAGCCACTCCTCAAAGAGGGGTCTTACCGCTGCTATGGTAGCGTGCCCGGCCCTCGGTTGCGACAGTCGTTGTTTCCACTCTGCCATGAGATCTCTCTATGACATACAGTGAAAGAAAGCATCGTGAGGGAACCCTGGACTTATAATTTCTAATTAAAGGTTAGGCCCATCCGCCTTGAGCAAGCGTGGTGATTCTCGATATGAGGCCTTTGCTCAGGAGTGAGAATTTATAGGCTGATGATGATGAATCGTATCTTCCTGCTATTTTCTCCATCCCCAAATCCATAAATCCCCAATTCTCAAATCTCTAACTCCCAATTAAGTAGTACAGCATTTGTAACTCAACTGATGTTACGGATAGCAGCCATGTTACATAAAAGAGAATTAAAAAGAAAACAAACAATATTATTCTAACATGAATGTCAGTGTGTTGAAGAAACCGCGTAAAACGACCCAAATAACCAACCAGCTAAACGATGTCGACTAACGAGTCAGCCTCTCCTCTTTTAAAACACCTTAATAGCCCTTGGGATATTAACCAAACAACTGCCGACCGCCGAAACATTGTTCATTATAGCAACCAGAAGTAAATTATATAAAAAGTCTCCCCTCGGCCCAAATACTAACAAACTGTGAAAGCTGGAGAAGATTTAATTAAAATAACTGCAACGTAAATTACTTGGGTCGCAATAAATTTTATTGACTTAAAAATATGGTGGACGGTTTTTGATGGTCTCGGGATCCGTGTTTAAATTGGCTAAATATCATTTACTTTTTCAGCGAACAAAGCGTTTGGTGATAGACGATCTAGAGACAAGATCCTTTTCAAGTGTGGGAGAGCCATGCTTTGGCACGAATGGGTCGGCTCAACTGGAGTAAAACCAAGGCCTCTCAGAAACCAGGCGTGAAACAACCAGTGTTGTGTTTCGCCGTGTGAGTGAGGTTACCGGAGGCCCAATCCTTACCCTCCCCCAATCCCTAAATCTCCAAATCCCTAATCCCCAAAAAGTCGGCAACTTGCGGATGTACATTGGCGGTGCTGATTGCTTACCATCAGATAATCCATATACTCGTTTGCCGATCTATTACACAAAAAATGGCGGACGTTTTTTGATGTATCTTGAGATCCGCGCTTAAGTTGGCTATAAATCCTTTACTTTACTTTAGGAGCGAAGAAAGCGTTTGGCTATAGGTGATCTAGTAACTGAATTGGTCACTATCCTAACACTTTCTAGGACAAGCAACCTCACATATCTATTTCACAGTGAACATGGTTGTAACGTTATTCAATAAAGCTTAACCCTTCAACAGCATGCCAAACGTGGTAATCCGTTTTATGCTGACAAAGACCAAAGGCTTGGATTCAATTTTGTAATTCCACAAGTTGGTGATTAAACTCAAAACTCTTTATTGTAGATCATAGAAAAACAAACACATTAATGTCCAGTAACGTACCGCTTTTAAGGCTTACAAAATTGAATGATTAAAGTAAAATTATTAAATATATCCTATGAGGGTATCGAAGGCATATGCGTAGTCTTTCCTTGGTAGAAACTCAAGCACGAACTCTTCCCGGGGTTGCGGGGTAAGCGCAATGAGGCAACGCGACCTCGGCCCAGAGCAGGAGAAGGAAAAGGGGGGTTTTTAGTCAGTAAGAGTCTGACACTCTCTCCCGCCCGACCCTGGGCAGGAGAAGGCATTTGATGATTTTCCCCTCACAAAAAAAAAGCACGAAATCTTCAAGGTCAAAACCCAAAATCTCCAAATCTCATTATAACAGTACATGCCGCCAAATTTATTAGAGAGAATATTACTAATTTTAATCACAGTCATATCAAATTTATTCCCAAAAACTGAGCGTAAATAATTTTATGTGACATAAAAACATTTATTTACTTTATGTTAAACATTAATTCATGTACGCAAGTGTGAACAATTAATGCGTATACCAGTTTTGCCCGACTTCCAATCTAGGCATAATTATGCGAGACCATGCAGCATATTTAAGCAAACGATGGATGGTGTTCCACATTAATGTAACAGTAACATAATAAATTAAAAGTCTCTGTCGGATACCACTTGTTTTATAATTCTTTTCTTTCTTCTTTCTCTTTCTTTTTTTAAGGGAATTTTGATTTTTCGTTGCTGTTTTTCTTTATGATCAATAAACTTTTTTAGATTTTTCTTAAAACTATTAGCACGTATCAACTCAGTGTCAAAATAATCGTTTCTCGAATAGTGTGCCCTTCGATGAGATTTAAGTCTTATCTTTTATATATTATTACATAGACCCAAATTCAATTTTCACATTTTCGACAACTACAATTTCGTCCATTTACCCAACATAACTTCACAATTACCCATTTCTAATTCATGTCTCATTACCTATATAATAATACGTGTAACAGATGCAATATTAAATCAAAACCCCTGTTTTGATACCACGGACTACCGTGACATACATTTTTTACTAACTTTTGCCCGCGACTCCGTTCGCGTGGAATGTTCACTTCCTGCAGATTTTTGGTATAAAAATCCTATGTTCTTTCTCGAGTCAAACTATGTCTGTACCAAATTTTACAGAAATCCGTTCAGTAGTTTAGGCGTTAAGAAAAGACAGACATAGAGACAGAGTTACTTTTGCATTTATTTATAATATTAGTTTGGATGAATATATTTTTATGAATGACAAGATGAGATATTAATTTGAATAAGCGTCAAATTAAAGTGTAACTAAATACTGACACACTGCTACATAACACCATTCTCAAGAATGTAGCACGTGCATTAACAAAACTGGTGAGGTAACAATGGGGCAGAGTAACATTATCTTCCTGATATCACTTTATTATGTATGCCTATGTAACTAAAAGGGAATAAGGGATTCTCAGTTAAGGTTGAATTACGAGGCCCAAAATCTTTCATAGTACAATGGTATCGTACTTCATATACTTGTACAGTACTTATCATCGAACCATCGAACTCAGAATCATTTAAGAGACACTTAACCTAGTCCTTACCAATTGTTTTATTACTAAAGATGGGTTTCATCATCATCATCAGCCTATGAGTGAACACTGCTGAGTAAAGCCCTGGTCTAGAACGGAGAATGTTTGAGCATTAATCACCACGCCTGTCCAAGGCGAAATGGCGATTTCAAACTTATAAAAAGATATTATAAATCCCGTTTTCCTGTGGTGATTAAATAACCTTAGAAATGTCACATTGGTACTATGGCTTAGGTAATCATTAAAGTAGCGTACGACATTTAATGTTTTAAAATAAGAAAGATTTTAATTGAGTAATACTTAGTTTTTTTTGCAAAACTAACACCTTGTTACAGGATGGTCCATGATATGTTAAATTAAAACGTACAAAGGCTTGGCAACCATAAGCAGTCCACAGATAAACAATTTTAAATCCCTTGATAATCATAATCAACCTCACAGCCCAACATCGAGTAAAAAGCTAGCGAGCACCTTAAAAATAAACAAAGTGTACCTATTAAAACACAACATCGTCCTCACAGTGCACAAGAGTATGGGAATATATTAATTTTAACACGCGATGTAAGAAAATTAAATAACTTAATGACATATTCCACAAGACTCCCATAGAGAAAATTCCTTTTAAAATAGACCTTTTAAAGTAAGTATTTTATTAAAGCAAGAGAGAGATGATATCAACGTGATATTTCGGATCTGAATACGGATGTAAATATAGGAAAAAAAATACAGTTTCAATTTCGGATATGGTTATGGATATGTAACTATTTCAGAATATCCGTTACTTTCGATTGCGGATATAAGATTACTAGTTACGAAGAATGTACAGTTTGTTACATATGTATAACAGAAAAACTGTAAGCGTGCTAATTGCGTATAACAAAAACCTGTCAAAATAGGCTTTATTTAGTCGGATCGAAACTGAACAGGAGTGGTTACTTAGGAATGTATTTTTATTTTGGGATATCCGACTTCGAATACAGTTACGGATCTCCATTACACCTCAAAAACAAAGTCCACTTAATACCGTGAAGCACGACCAAAATATTTTTATAAGTATGTATACAAGGAGCCTTATATTTAAGGAGACGAAATAATAATGGCGTTCATGTAATGAGAATATTTGAAATATTTTCACATCATCACGAGAAGCACCACTTGATTTGAGGATCATTGCAGCTACTTGGTTTTATTTCTAAAAATAAAAGCATTATTAATAATAGGTCGTCACTCAAAAAATATGTTTTACACTTACAGACAGCCAGTAATTTGTTATGCAGATAAAGAAAGATATATTGATCTAGAAAAGAGACATTGCTGAAATGTTTATTTTTTGGCGAAACTAAATATTTTTAGGGAACAGAGAGTATAGTTTCCTAAGATCGGAAAAGATGGATCACCTGACCAGGCGAGGTGATCGTGCCTGGCGAGGTACTGCCCAACAGTTGTACACTGGGTTTTACTGAACATTGGCACCGGTTTGGCATTGTTGGCAATCCTTTATAACCATGTGGAATGAACTGTA